CATATAGCGCCAGTTTGCCCGCTAATGCACGGGATTTTTTTTACCAAAAACATGTAGCAGAATACATTTTGGCTTAAATTTATGATTAACTTTGAGTTTACGATATATTTTTTATAGCTGAAAGTAGAAAATATTGTTTTTTTTCAAAATTTGTTTTTTTTGTTTATAGCGCAAAAAATAAAAAGCGCACAGGTGACAAAATACCACCAAAAGAAAGCTCTATTTGTGTGAAAAAAAGGACGTAAATTTTGTTTGGGTACAGCATTGCATGACCGACCGCGCAATTATCATTTGAATTAGTGCAGCGCCAAACAGCAAAAAAAGGCCTGGTCATTAAGGGGGGTAAATCCTCAGGAGCTCAAGTGGTTAAATTGGCCTCAGAACCTGGGTAATTAATATGTGTTTGGTTTTTAAAGGGGATGAGGTGACAACCCTACCCTAAATGCGCCTAAATGCATTTGAAAAAAGAAGTGTCAGCCCATTACCTGCAAAAGGCTGGTAAAACATATAGCTAAGTGCGCTGATTATTGTATTTAATGTGGATTCTTTAATTAAACGCCAATAAATGTATTCTCCCTCATGCAATAGTTTGTTCATGCCACAGTACGAAGGGGCATCATAAGACTAGACATCAAGACTTGGAACACAGGTCACTAATCTGAAAGTGAGGCTTGGAACTCAGGTCACTAATCTGAAAGTGAGGCTTGAAACACAAGTCACTAATCTGAAAGTGAGGCTTGGAACACAAGTCACTAATCTGAAAGTGAAGCTTGGAACACAAAGCACTAATCTGAAAATGAGGCTTGGAACACAAGTCACTAATCTGAAAGTGAAGCTTGGAACACAAAGCACTAATCTGAAAATGAGGCTTGGAACACAGGTCACTAATCTGAAAAAGAGGTTTGAAACACAGGTCACTAATCTGAAAGTGAGGCTTGAAACGCAGGACACAGCTTTGAGAATGAGGCTTGGATCCCACGGCACGTCTGTGAAAATGAGGCTTGAAACCAAAGATACCAATGTAAAAGTGAGGCTTGGAACGCAGGACATTGATACGGAAATGAGGTTTAGAACACAAAAATCGAATGTTGAAGTAAGGCTTGGATTGCTGGGTACAGAAATGAAGCTTGGAATGTAGGATAGTGATCCGGGAGTGGAGTTTGGGACTCGGTGCTGACGCGGAAGCGATATTTGGAACGCAGGATACAGATCAGAGAGTGAGTCTTGGAACGCAGAATGCTGATTTGGGAGCGAGGCTTGGAACTCGACCATAGCAAGAATAAGGAAGAAGAGGTAGAATACGGAGGAAGAACAGAAAGGTGGAAGAGGTGGACTAGAGGTGATATAAACCCCCTAGATGAGGTACTGGAAGGACTGCTCTCCTGTGGTTGGGTTATCTCAGTGCCCACACTTGACTGACATTGTAGTGTGAGGTGGACTGATGGAGGCTGGGGACTATTTTGACGTGGTTTCTCCTTAAAGCAGTAGTAGTAACCCACAAAAAAGAAATGTAAAAACAATCTTCTCCCTGGCAGTTAAGTGCATAATGTGCTAGTATTCATCTCATACAAGAACATTATGAAGGACTTACTTGAAAACTAAGCCATCGAGCAGAGCGCTGTCACGGCTCCTCGAAGCTTCTATCTTCACCCAGTCTTCCTTCCGGGTTTGGGGGGCTACGACTGCTTGAAGGGCTGCGCCGTGATGATGTCACTCCTGCATATACGCGCTGGAGTCGCAGCTGCAACACGGCTCTCTCAATGGATGGCACTTTGTCCAATGAGAGCCCAGGGCACATGCACTGATGACATCACCGGCGCTACAAAAGTGAATATGTCCTAAACGGCTTTCCTGTAGGTAAAATATAACAATAGACTACTTCCACTTTAACCGCTTCCTCACCGCCCTATAGCACAAATACTGCAACAGGGTGGCAGGGCTGTGCAAAATCACATATATATATGTGATTTTGTTTTTCTGGGTAGGGGGCACGTGTACACCCTACCAGTGCTGCCATTGGAGGCTACAGCTGTCAGTCACCGGGTCCCTGCTGGAGATTCCCCACCGGCACCTGTCAATCGCCAAGTATCACTGAGGGGGGAGAGATCTGTGTGTAAACAATACAGATCTCTCCCCTGTCAGCTCCTGCACACTGCTTTGTATGGCTCTGTATAGGGAAGAGATACAAAACAGTATGCATCCCTAGTAAAACAAACACACAGCACACAGTTAACCTTTTGATCGCCCCAGATGTTAACCCCTTCCTGCCCAGTGTCATTAGTACAGTGTCAGTGCTTTCTATTAGCACTGATCATTGTATTAGGTGTCATTGGGGATGTCAGTTACAGTTAGTTCCCCAGTGTCAGAGTGCCCTCCGCAGTCCCGCAATAAGTCACCGCCATTACTAGTGTATAAAAAGAAAAAATCCCAGTATATATACCACCAGTCGTAAACGCTATAACTTTCACGTAAACCAATTATTTACACGATTTGGGATTTTTTTTTTTTTTTTAGCAAAGACATAGCAGAATACATTATGGCCTAAATTTATGACGAAACTGTTTTATAGCAAAAGTCAAAAAACAATTTTTATTTCAAAATTGTCTGTCTTTTTTTTGTTTATAGCGCAAAAAAAAAAAAAAAATAAAAACGCACAGGTGGTCAAATACCACCAAAAGAAAGCTCCATTTGTGGGCAAAAAAGGACATAAATTTCATTTGGGTGCAGCGCAATTGTCAGTTATAGTAATGCAGCGCCATATCACAAAAAATGGCCTGGTCAGGAATGGGGGTAAATCCTTTGGAGGGCAAGTGGTTAATACATTCCTTTTATTATGGTAAAAATGTTTAGGTAGACAGTATGCCCCTTCACACCTCTTCTACTTACCTGAGTCCTCACTCCATCCAGCACTGTGCCGTCTGTAGCCTCTCTCACGGCCATTGGTCCCTGCTAATCTCAGTCAAATCCAGTGAAGAGGGAGTGGCCATGCTGCACTGTGTGTGTCTATGGACACAGGCAGTTCATGCGCGAGTGCTCCCATAGCAAGCAGGCGCTATGGGGGCACTCGGAAGGAAGGAGGAGCCAGAAGCGCCGGGGGGTGGGGACACCGGAAAAGAGGAGGTTTGGGGCCTCTTGCACAGAGCAGGTAAGTATAACATGTTGGTTAAAAAAATAAGACTTTACAATCACTTTAAAGCTGGGTACACACTGATGGCTTTTTTTTTTTTCTCATTCAACCCAAGGTGTTGAACAAACAAAAAAAAGCAGCTGCCATACCAACACAAGTAATGTTGGTGCAGCGATCCCCCCTGCTGTGCTATTGAATTCTGACAGCGGGAAGCCTCTCCCCTCCTCCTGCTGAACCAGCCAATTTTAAGTCAATATGTACCCAGCTTAGGAGCAGCTGATGTCTGCAATTGTGAAGTTTCTTCCTCAATGAAGTGCTGATATTAACCACTTGCCCTCCAGAGGATTTACCCCCCCCCCCCCTTTTTGACCAGGCCATTTTTTGCGATACGGCGCTGCATTACTTTAACTGACAATTGCACGGTCATGCAACGTTGTGCATAAGTGAAATTTATGTCCTTTTTTTCCCCACAAATAGAGCTTTCTTTCGGTGGTATTTAATCACCTTTGCGTTTTGTATTTTTTTCGTATAAACAAAAAAAGTCTGACAATTTTGAAAAAAAAACAATATTTTTGACTGTGTGCTATAAAACATATCCAATAAAAAAATGTACACGAATTCAATCATAAATTTAGGCCAAAATGTATTCTGCTACATGTCTTGCTAAAAAACAATCCCAATACATGTAAATTAATTGGTTTATATGAAAGTTACAGCAACTACAAATGGCGGTATATATATACTGGAATTTTTATTTTTTATTTTTTTTATACTAGTAATGGCGGTAATCAGCGACTTGGAGTGAGACTGTGGCGGGCATTCTAACACTGGGGGGGAACTGACTAACTGCCACTGACATCCTCAGTGACACTAATACAATGATCAGTGCTAATAAAAAGCACTGACACTGTATTAATGACAAGGGGTTAACTTTTGGGCGATCAAAGGGTTAATGGTTTGTTGTGTGCCTTTTACTGTATGTGCTATGTGTATTTTACTATGTAAACATGCTACTGTGTATTGCTCTGCTGTGCAGAGAAATGCGAGCAGCACATCCTTGCTGGCAGGAGAGAGACCTGTGTTGTTTACACACAGGTCTCTCCCCTGTCAGCTTTACTCGGTGATCACCAGGTGCCTGTGGGGAATCTCTGGCCGGGACCCAGTGATTGGCATCCCTAGCCGCCAATAGCAGTGCGCGCCCCCTATCCAGAAATGCAAATCACGTGTATATATATGTGATTTTGCGCAGCCCTGCAACACCATAACAGTAGCTCTACTATAGGGCGGTGGGCAAGCAGTTAAAGCAGAACTTCACCCTCTCTGTCAACATTGACTATTGTGAATCCTTATGTTGCTAGCATTAGTAAATAGATAGCAAAGTGTATTACATTTGCATGTTTTAAATCTTTTTTTCACATTTCTTCAGTTATTTTCTGCTTTCCATGCCTAGGAAAACAATATCACACATCCCAGGAGTCTTTAGGAGGGGAGGATAGGTAAACACACCCCCTCCTGCTTGAATGCCCGAGCTAAGGGTAGATGGATTCTGTGAAGTAAATGCTACATGAATCATTTTCCCTTACTCAAGATGGCCACAGCCAGAAATGCTAGGAGATGTTTTTCAAAGTGATTTCTTGGCAAAATAAAGCATGGAGAGTTGGATGGATGGGTAAGTTTGCTTTGAATTTAAATATAAATTAAATAGCATTTTTGGATTGTGGTGCACAAATACAGTGCAGTTCCTCTGTAAAGATGATCACACCTCTTATTTATGTTGTTTTACAGGAAATGTGATCATCCTCCCATACAATGAGGTTACGTGGCTTTTAATGATAACGTTTTATCCATTCTATGTCACTGCTGTATTTTTAACATGAAGAAAAGAAGGAAGATTATGACAAAAATGCACATCAGCTCCTCTGATGGGAAGGAGAAATCGGCTGTCCCAGACATTCCATCTGTGCAGTGTGACCCTGGTCCATCTCCTGTAGTGGGAGCTTCCGATCAGCGGAAAGTCCTTAGTTCACTGAACTATAACAAAAACCTGTTGAAATATTTGAACGATGATCGCCAGCGTCAGGCATCTTTCTGTGATCTGGTCATTGTGGTGGAAGGGAAGGAGTTCCAAGTGCACAAAGTGGTGGTGGCCGTGGGCAGCAGTTACTTCCACGCTTGTCTGACGAAGAACCCAAACATGGACGTAGTGACATTAGAACATGTAAATAGCTCAATATTTCAACACTTGTTGAATTTTCTGTACACATCTGAGTTCCTGGTGCTGGAGACTGAAATAAGTCTGGTCTTGGAGGCTGCAAAGTTTTTGGATATAATTGATGCCGTTAAATTGCTAGCAGCTGAAAGTGACATTTTACCTCCGATTGACAATCAGCTGGTTCCGAATGTAACAGATGAAGCTGCTCATAAACTCAACAACAGTCACAAATGTCCCTTCTGTGAACGGAACTTTTGCTACAAAAAAACACTGGAGAATCACATGGACAAAGCCCACAAGTTGGATACAACAGATGTTTCCAAGGATTCTGATTCCTCTCCTAGGAAGTCAACACGTAAAAGAAAAAGTCCCCAAAAATATGATGATGGAGAAGACTTAGAGAGTGACAGTGGAGAGTCAAGTAGTGATTTGGGCAAAAGTAGTCAGGAGAGCACAGACCCAGAAGATTCTGACAGTGAGATGCAGGAGGAAAGCCATGCAGTGGAGGACAATGACCAGTCTGTGGAAGAAGAGTATGGGGGGGAGGTATCTGGAGGTGATGAGGGACAAAACATTGGGGAACGAGAAGAATGTGAACAAAAGAATGAAAATTCTGTTAGTTTTGGAAAATTTCCAGAAGGTCTTGCACCGATTGTGTTACAGATTAACAACAAGAGAACTTTGAAATGCCCAAAGTGTGATAAGGTCTTTGATCGATTTGGTGAGTACCTATCAGGTGTGTGGAAATGTTTGAAAAAAACTACTTGTCCAGGGACTAAATGGTTGTTTCAATCTACTTGTCCCTTCATGACAATCTACTTGTCCAGATAAACAAAAAAAAAAAAGTATTGAAACCTGAGGTGCTTTTACGAATGTCTGGGGTTTTAAAAACAAAAAAGGGCTTTAAAATGTTTATTATATTTAACACTGCAAAATCGTGAAAAATCATATATTCAGTAAAAAGGATATATACTGTAATGCTGCTGTTCCTAAAATGAAAAAACACCTTAAATAATGATCAATAACACAGCACAAAAAAAATTTCAGGAAAAATATAAGAAACAAGGGGGACACACATAGTGTAACTCCGTAACATCCCTTTGTTAACGTCTTCACGCCAGCCAAACGCAAATGTGCGGCCTCCCGGCGTCTGGACCTAGACACCGAGCGGCTGCACATTTGCATTCTATTAAAAAAGGACATATGTGCCGAGAGCACGCGCCCTGCGTGCTCCCAGCACACATGGAAAGGTCCCGATCTCCTCTTTCGATCGGGACCTTTCCCGATCATGTGACCGACATGATGCCGCGTTACGGCGGTCACATGACCCTAAACCCCGCCTCCCAGCTTCTGAAACTCTTAAAGGGCCAGGAGGCGCTGGTGTGAAGGGGTTAAACAATCTTCAGATACATATTGCACTCACATGTAACACAAAGTTAAAAGCTTTCAGATTAAGCAATGTTCCGTGATCCCCACATCCATACACTCTCTATGGGCAAAAATGGCTCGGGAGCGCTGCTCACAGCGTGCGCTCCACTCACTGGACGTGACATCACAAAGGTCGGACAGGGACCGGAAATTACGTCATCGCATTTCGCCCCTCCTCCAGGGCCTTCTCAAATACCTTGTTTCATATATTTTTCCTGCCTGCATGAGGATCAAGTATTGAGGAAGTATATTGAATCCTGGTTCCGCCTGTCTGGGTCCTGACTATGCCCGAGAACACACCTCACCAGTTTAAGTGTTTTTGACTCTTAGGTCATAAAAGCTAGGAGTCCATCATATCTGGTGAGTGTGGAGTGTATTGGAAGGTGATCGTGGAGCACTGGGGTTTTACGACGTATTGAACACATTTCGTTTGGACACATTTTTTTGATTAGAAAATGAAAAAAGTGAGCGCTTGATTCTAAAAAGCAGCTAAGCACTCTAAGTAACCAATAAATACTTATACAGAATAATATGAATAAAAGTGCAGCGCTAATTAATAAATCTAAAATTGTCCACTGTAAGTCCAGTTCATATAAATGTACCAGGTGAAAGATGAAAATCCACAATGGTGATCCGTGAGGAAGTAGCAGAAATGCGCACTCACCAGAAGGCGGATATATATAAGCAGTATATATCAAAAGCTCATGGATCCTCGGTCAAGAAGAGATAGATCTGGTCACTGTGGGTTGGCCTTTCCTTTCTTCAAGGGTGCAGAGCAAAATTCTTCCTCCTCTCAGGTGGGTGCTTGAATTCCCAATAAGGACTCTGCAAAGAGGTACTACACATAGAGAGTGTATGTCCTCTGAGTGCTTCTCCCGCCTTCCCTCTGCGGTTCTCTTTCTCTCCTTGTTCTCTACTAAAGGTACCTTTAAGCAGAGAACAAGGAGAGAAAGAGAACCGGAGAGGGAAGGCGGGAGAAGCACTCAGAGGACATACACCCTCTATGTGGAGTACCTCTTTGCAGAGTCCTTATTGGGAATTCAAGCACCCACCTGAGAGGAGGAAGAATTTTGCTCTGCACCCTTGAAGAAAGGAAAGGCCAACCCACAGTGACCAGATCTATCTCTTCTTGACCGAGGATCCATGAGCTTTTGATATATACTGCTTATATATATCCGCCTTCTGGTGAGTGCGCATTTCTGCTACTTCCTCACGGATCACCATTGTGGATTTTCATCTGTCACCTGGCACATTTATATGAACTGGACTTACAGTGGACAATTTTAGATTTATTAATTAGCGCTGCACTTTTATTCATAACATTTTTTTGATTGGAGCACTCAAACACTGTTTGTTTGGGACTTTGGATTTTGTCACGTTTTTTAATTAGGTTTTTTTTGTGCTGTGTTATTGATCAGTCATATTTAACACTGCACTGTTTATCTCTTCCTCACCTCCCTGCTTGTCTCCAGAACTGAACCCGGGGACTAGCAGGGAAGAGAGAAACCTTGCCCGATTGGGTGCTCCTCAGGAAAGGGGAGTGTCGGGCTTATCCTTTATCTCTTTCACTGCCAGAGCTGTTTTTGTGTTTTTTGCACACGCTTAAAAAATCATTTTAGGTTTGAAGATTACAAAAAACCCCACAAATATATATATATATTATCTGAAAGCAGAGACCCTAGAGAATAAAATATTGGCAGTTCCAATTTCCACAAAAGATCTAGGCAACGCAAAATTTCAGTAAAAAATACACTTAAGTTACTTTTGGGCACAAAACAATAAATTACCCAATTTTTTGATAAAATATAAAAGTTGAGGTTGTACCTAGTAAATTGATATCTGACATGTCAAATGGCAACAAAATGTAGTACCCTATATTTTCTATAGGCGACACTTTTAAAGCCCTTTATAGGTCATCAGTTTAGCGTTACAGAGGAGGTCTGGTGCTAAAATTATTGCGATAGGTAACGTGTATCTCAATCAACATTTTCATGCGTAGGCTCCCCAGTGTGTGCTTTTACGTTTGTATGTGCGCATACGTGGGTGGCCTCAATGGGTTTTTTTTTTTGGGGGGGGGGGGGGCATGTGCTTCAGTGTAAGAATTTTTTTTTTTTTTTTTTTTTTTTTACAAAAAAACGTTTTATTGAAGTATGAAAGGTAAACAAATGATAGACAGATACGGATCGCAGTCCGTGCAAAATTTCTTGTACGTTCTCCCGTAATGCAGACGGGATCAAGACAATATATTAATTTGTAGAACATCAGAGGACGGAGTTCCACAGTAAGGCAAAAGTGATAGACGTAACCATAGCAATACTGACAGTAGCATGTACTTTAGATAATTATGGTATACACTAGGCTCTATGTAAGGAGAGTACACATAAGCGGATTCTGAAGTGGTCGACAAAAGTATCCTCTCAAGGCATCTATGACATATATTTCCATCTCTAAAAAATGTGGGCTACTGTTGTAGAATATTGTTACATCTGTATAGCTATGAGTGTTCCGTACCGAATGAGAATAATAGCTAATTAGACTATGAGAAAAGAGGGTGTAAATGAGAGAAAGAAAAAGAAAAGAAAGAGAGGAGCGTGGGGATGGAGGAAGAATATGAGATGAGATATCAAAATGAGGTGGGAGGAGACGCACATGACAAATAGAAGGGGGGAATGGGGAGAGAGAGAGGGAGAGAGAAAAAAAAAAAAAAAAAAAAAAAAAAAAAAGGGGGGGGGGGGGGGGGGGGAGTGGTTGGATGATGAGGTTCATATTTAAAGAAGCATAACCAAACCAGTTACATCTATTAGTAACGGCCTGACTGTATCTAAGTCCATCTTTTTAATTAGCGATATAATTCAGTGAATGACCGTTAATGGAGTTATTGCCGAGGTGAAAGTTCTAGAGGCCTGCTGTGTCTCCAAGTCTTTCTCGTTCAATCCTTCAGCAAGCCAAGGTAAGTATCAGTAGATTGGAAATGGGTCCAACAAGCCCAAGTCTTCCTGAATCGCTCGGGGTGATCTTTTGCCACTGAGATCAGTTCCTCCATTTCAGCAATCCTCTGGATCCTAAGAATCCACTCTCGTACGAGAATTTTATTTTTACTATTTTTTTTTTTTTTTTTTCATCACATAGGGGACAAAAAGTCCCCTATGTGATGATTTTTGGTGACAGGTTCTCTTTATTGAGACATCCAGGGTCTAAATGACCCTGGAGGTCTCCCCCTGTGCTCCACTGGATGTAATGCATTTCACATCACACTGCATTACATTCATTTCTTTCCCAGTCTTGATGGCCAGGAAATCTTTCAACGGGGACCAGAAGTGACTTCACAATGTCACTTCCGGGTCAGAAGAAGAAGAAGGGAGTGAACCTGTCTGCTCTCCTTCCTTCCCTATACCCGCTAGCACCCGCTGAACCAGTCCCGGCCTGCAGATGGGCAAGCGGAGCCCGGGAGACATAGCGGGCATGGGGGTGGAGGCTAGCACTGTAGTGGGCTGTGTGGAAGCAATCAGCTGCCCCGAATGCTTCCACCTGACAGGTGAGTCCTACTGCTTGCCTGCAGCAGGTCTAAAAGTTAAAAGAAAACTACCTGCCCAGCATCCGGAACTACACGTCCCGGGCGTTGGGCAACATAAATTGAACATCCCTGGTGATATTACTTCTTTGCAAATACCTCCGCTTGCTTTTATGGTATGATTTTTTATTTCTTTAGGTTTTGATAATATTTTGTGCCTGGAATCCTATATAGGCTTTGTACCAGGCTGTATTAGTGCTAATGACTAATGAGCTCAGGGTTGGTTTGAACTTGGGTTCGGACCAAACCTGGAAGAAGGTTGTTACTCCTGTCCACTGCCACCCACACAACTGCAGACGGAACATTCCCAGCCCTGCGAATGCATGTACATAAAGGTACGGGGATGCTTGTAACATCATTGACGTAATATGGCCAAATTAGGAAAATGACATCACAAGCTCATCCTTACTCATTTTCTTTTTTCCTGGCAACAAGTGACTCAGATACCAAGCACTGTATCATGAAGGAGAAAAGGTTACAAGTCGAGGTTTGTTCAGGCACGTGTGGACACAAGTCCAAACCCACATGAACTATCCCGCCAGGAAAATGTCACTGAGGACAGCCAATCATAAGTGGCAGAGACAATCCCTTCCGCACAGCTGCATGTATACACACACCTTGGATATGTGCGCCTGTGGGGCGGGGGATGCCTCTGCCACTTACAATTGGCTGTCCACAGTGACAGCTTCCTGGTAGGATAGCTCAAGCAGCTTTGGACATGTCTGAGCTCATCCCTGGGAACATACAAATTCATTTTAAGGGGTTAGAAAACTGAATAAAACTTATTTGTAAAATATATTATAAATGAGAAGTTATCCCAGGTAGTTAAGAGTCCTGTCACCCATTGTAATTGTTGCAGGAGAACTGTGTCTCCCAACTCCACCTTCTACACTGTGTAGGCAGAGGCAGGGTCCTATTGCACTAATCACAGCAAAGAGCAATGGGACTGTGACTAGCTGTGAGTTGCAGCTTCAGTGTCTGAGGACAGCCTTACTGTGAACTTCTAGAGGGGCTGAAACAGCTACAGTCTGGGCTTGCTGGTAGAACAGCTGAAGGAAAGGTGAGCAACTCGGCAGATAAGGAGAAAACAGTTTTGCAAAGTAATAATGGAGGGCCCTCTTCTCCCTCACTTATGATGGGAAATCTGCTACTTGTGGGAGGGGAGTATGTAACGAATGCAAACCACAGTATACAAAACGGAGTACATACAGTATTGTGCATAGTGGAACAGTCAGCAGTAATAAAAATACACTGCAGCATACAGAGTGAATCATTTAGGAGTTTGTAACATACATTAGAACGTACGGAATGGATCAGTCTGTGCTCTGTACCGTACATTACATATTCCTGACCACTTCACTGTATTGTACATTACATACTTTTGACCAATTCATTCTGTAGACTGTACTGTATGTTTCCTACCTCTGACTGCTTGACTTTGCTGCACATTTGCTATTCCATACCTCAATCTGTATGCTGTGCTGTACCTTCCGTATCCCACACTGCCTGATTCTGTACGTTGTCCTGCACATTTGTATTCCACACCAACTCATTCTGTACACTGTGCTGTACATTTCCTAATCCGTACTGCCTCATTCTGTACCCTATACTGTACACTCCTCCCTCTACACCAGTGGTTCTTAACCTTGTTGGAGGTACTGAACCCCACCAGTTTCATATGCGCATTCACCGAACCCTTCTTAATTTGGAAAAATAAAATAAGATTTTTAAAATTCAAAACATAGGTATATATTTAGGTATATATTTATACATAGGTGCACAAAATGAACAAAACCGTTAAGAACAAAGAACAAAACCATTAAAACATGATTTTCACACAAAAACAAAAACATAATAATGAATATTTACTGCACGAATCATATGAGTCGGGTGTGGGTCTTCACCTCCGCCGAACCCGCGAGACTGACTCACCAAACCCCTGGGGTTCGATCGAACCCAGGTTAAGAACCACTGCTCTACACCATCCTGTTCTGTAGGATGTTTAATACTGCCTAATCCAAATTGCCTCAATTTGTCCTCTGCTCTGTATGTTCTTTAATTAACACCATTCTATTCTGGACCCTGTGCTATGTATCACCTGTTTTCAAATTTCCCATTTGTGTCACTCTCTACACTGTAGTGTACATTTCCTTTTCCACTTTCCCTCATTCTGTACACTGCACTGTACATTCCATTTTCCTCACTGTCCTGTTGTGTATGATTTGCTGTAAGAAGAGCTTTAACGAAAGGGCCGGATGATGGTATTTCCCCCCAGGGTAAAAGTTTTCAGTCCTCCCCTGGATCCAGTTATGGTTGCATGGCATTTTTCAGGATGGGCTTCCTGAGAGTGACAACAATCAACCATGCCTGTGAAAGGTGTATTAAAACAGCCACTTATATTGTCAATGGGAAGATGGTATGAAAGGGTGACAATGCAGACGCGCAATTGGAAGGAAGAACAATCTTGTCACCCTAACAGGAACTACTTGACTGAGGACCTTAATGGCAGAATCACGGGGTATTATTTTAATGAAAGCTGTATATTTAAAATAATTAACATGACTTTTGAAATCACATTAAAATGATAAAACTCATGGAAAATAAGTGGTCGGTTTTACATATGCTTTAATGTGACACTGTGAGTCACCCAAATAAAATCTTAAAGGATAAGGTAAACAAATATTTAATGCACATTTGTTTTGCAGGTAAAAAAATGTGCATTTACTATTTTTTGTTTTGGGAGCCTGGAAAGCATTGCACCAGTAATCAGCAGATCACAGATGCCATGCAGGACTTCTGCAGATCTGTCATGGTATCTGTGTGCTTGTACCTCATGTGGGCAAGCAGATACACTCTGACAGGAAGAATAAATGAACTACCGCATCGCTCAACAGCGCCATTGTAGTTCATTGAGAACTACAAGGCGACAGCGCCAAGGCTGTTGGAATTTGTTGTTTTCCCATTCACAGAATACTGTGCATGAGTAACAGGGCCAGGCGGGCTGACACAACGGGGGATTTGGGGGGAGTTGGTGCCGATCATTTCGTAACCTGTTACATCCTGAATAAAGGTGTAACAGGTTATGTAAGGTGAACATATCTTTAAAGGCAGTTCCCTAGCTGTTTTACTCGCCTGGGTGGCTTGTGTGTCCTACCTTTGCTTCGTTCAAGTGCTGCATCTTCCGGCAGGTTCTAAAATTGGTTGGATGCCTGCGACCCTTGTTATGCACTGTGGTTCCATTCTCTGATTCCCCTATACCTAACAGAAGACATGGGCATCTGATGCTGTCAGAAGTGTGAATGCAAGAGTCTGAGGAAGGCTGCTGAGCTTGAATGGAATAAAGGTAGAAGATATGGGCCACCAAAGAGATGAGTTTAATTAGCGGTTCTGTAACATGGTACTGAGAAGATTTTTTTAGGTGACTGATAGTGCTGCTTTAGAGAACCAGTCAGAAATGGGCATTTTTAATATGATTTTTCATTCTTGAATTTTTATAGCAGTGCAGCCTGACTTCTTGCAGATAACGGTTTGTTCTCTTTCTCTCATTCACAGAGCATAAGTGTCAGACTGTAGAGTGTATCTCCTGCTTAGGCTCAGTGCAGATTAACTAACTAAGGTGTTGTAAGGATGAGACAAGTAACTAAGGTGTTGTAAGGATGAGTTTTACCTTCCTTTTCAACCCAGAAAGGGTATCTCTTTTTAGGGCTCATTCAAACCATTGAGCCACTCTGAATGCACGGCCACTGTTGTGCACTGTGAGACATAGTGCCAATGTGTTCGGATCATTATTTACTTTTTTGCAGAACTTCATTGAAATGTCAGAAGTGACATTTTAGTACAGTTTTGTTCACTGCAGCAGCATACCATGGTTCATGTCACAACCCACTACACTGAAAAACAGATCTTTCTTTCCGTATCCACCACAGCAACGCTGTGGTATGAATGTTCACCATTGGAAACAAGGTATTTTGCCTTGTTTAGGTATTGGCACTGCACTAGATATAGTGGCCAGCGTAGCCGCAACGCATATGGTGTGAGCACACCTTTAGAGCCCTGATCTGGGGCAGGAGATGGGACAGCCTCTGTGGGAGCCTTATAAACAACCACAGAAGAGTAAAGAGTAAATATAATAGAATAACAGGAGAGAACTATCTGTGGATGGTAAGTCTGCACTATTATTACAATGCAAGAGAGTTGAGGTTCTGATTTCTACAAATGCCACCTACTGGCAGGTCCTATTTAATGAGAACAGCTCTATACTTGTGAAAGCTATGTTGTGTATGTCTGCACTTGACTTATAACTGAAAATGCCTACCTTTTTATTAGAGCTGACATTTATTTCCAGGTAAATATGAGAGCCATACACGAGTGCACACAGGAGAAAAGCCTTTTCAATGTGACATCTGCAATTTGAGGTACTCTACCAAATCCAACTTAACAGTTCACCGAAAGAGGCACAACAATGAAACAGAAATTCCCAGAAAGGATCACAAGTGTCCATTCTGCAGCAAGCTCCATGCCAGCAGGAAGACCCTTGTGAAACATGTCAGGAGGTAAATCATGTGAACTTCATATTTACTGCTTGTGTGTGCTGTTTATGAAATGGGCAAGGTTTGTTCAATAAAGAGCTGGAAGAATGTCAATCTCCTCTTTTCTCAGGACCCCTTTCCTATAGTAATAGGATGGTGATCCTTCCCACAGTAACACAATAAGTATTTACAACTACTGTAGTCTCTCTGCAAGGGATACTTGCCCCACTTACTGTAAAGTTGCTTTGGCTAACTGCCAGACAGCACTGATAGCAACTGGTAATTATCCTTCTATCCTGAAACTACAAGCCTAGCATGTCATGGTAGCCATAAAATGGAAGACCTCATCCAAGGAGATAGCAGGGAAAATGGCTCTGGTAACCTAAAATTGCAAAATGGAAAGTCTATTTAACTAATCCCTCCCCCCAACCCAATACAAATAGCTTGAAAAAGACTGAAATAATAATAAATAAAACACTTGCGTCAGCTTAGGCTACGGTCTTTCCACTTTCTGGAGGTGCTGGTGATGTTACTGTGCTTCATCACTGCCTTCCTTTTAAGCTTGGTGCTCCTTTTTCATGAAGGGTACTGTTTAAGCTGGGTAAACAGTCTGTTATGACACAGGGACTGGTAGTTCTCAATGTAGCATAAGTCCATTGCTACTTCCTCCAGCCCAGAAACTGATAGTACTGGACTGACATTCTAAAGCAGGCCATAGATTATGCAATATTCATTCCTTCCACCAGGTGGAAGGAAAGAAAATTGCTTGATTCCCACATCAACACAGTCAGTGTTGATGGGAGAATACATCCCACAGCGCTATTGTGTTCTGCCAGAAAAGAGCCTTCCAGGCTGGCAGAACACAATTATTACTGCTAGCGGTTATACCCGCCAGCAGTAGTCGCATGTAAAAATCTGAAAGGGTGGTTGTACCCAAGTTGATCGTCTCTGCTGATTTGCCTAGGATTCGATCCATCTATGGCCAGCTTAAGTGGTGCATAGCAGGTGTCTGGCTTCATATTGAGCCCTTTTTGCCACCTCTGTGGCCATTCTACACTGGGAAGAGTTTTTTTTAAAACTTTTTTTTAACTTTAAACCAGATTGTTGGGTCTCTCAAAATGCGATAGCCAGTTTCCTGACTACGTAACATCTTTCGAGACCCTGTGCAAATATGTGCCCTGAACTTTGCCGTGCTGTACCCTGTACTAATAGTCCACTAGTGTATGGTAGCGACGGAAGCAGTTCTTGCGGCAGAGACCAGGTTGACCAGGACAGGAGGGACAAAAAAAAAAGCGGGTGTCATGCCTAATTCCATGTGTGGGTGTCCTTTGGGTTGGGGTACCAACTATCTTGCCACTGCGCCCCATGTAGTCTGGGCATCTGGGGGGCTCCACGTGACTATCTTTTCCCTCGTAAATCTGAAACTTACATGTATAGCCTGTTGCCCACTCACAGGTCTTATACATCTTGACCCCATATTTGGCACGCTTGCTCGGTAGAAATTGTTTGAATGCAAGCTGGCCAGAAAAACTAATGAGGGACTCATCAACGCAGATGTTTTGCTGGGGAGTATAGACATCTGCAAATTTTTGGGTTAGCTGATTTACGAGGGGCTGAATTTTGTGTAGCCGGTCAAATTCATGGTCACCCTGAGGACGACAGAGTGCATTGTCGTTGAAATGCATAAATCGCATTATATTCTCATATCTATGCCTGGCCATGGCAGCAGAGAACATGGGCATATTATGAATTGGGTCTGTGGACCAATACAGCCGCAAATAATTTTTTTTCAGTAATGCCCATGTTGAGGGTTAGGCTCAAAAAAACTTTCAATTCACAAGCCATAATAGGTTTCCATGCAAATGATCTAGCAATGTTTGAATTTGGGTTGGCAGTGACAAACTGTTGTGCATATTTATTCATTACAGGTACTTATATAATGCTGTCAATTTACGCAGCGCTTTACATATATATTGTGCATTCACATCAGTCCCTAACTCTCGAGGGGGCATACAGTCTAAAGTCCCTAACTCACATCCATACATACACATACTAGGGCCAATTTAGACAGGAGCCAATTAACCTACCAGCATGTCTTTGGAGTGTGGGAGGAAACCGGAGGCTGCAGAATCTGTGGACTGACAATCAGATCAAGCACATCCGGAAGGACACTATGGGCTGTACGGGCCTGTGTGCAAATTCTTGGTGGCTGCAGGACACTACTTGTGCTAGCCACCGCACCAGCTTGTACTGCACTTATGGGACTCGCCACGTTGTCAAGTGATACTGCAGTGCTGGTATGTATAAGACTAGGATGTACTAGGCTGCTGGTGCTCGCCAGTTCACCAAAAGGTTGAGCAGCACTAGTACTGGCACTCTGCTGCATGTGAGATTCATCATGCAATTGTGATAGGCCAGGGATAAATCAGCAGCTGAACAGCCTGAATCTGCTGATTGATCGGACGGGTACCGAATCATGGCACCGATAAGTCGGCAGGCGCGCGTGCCCTGGCCCCCGATCATGGCGGGAGCTCAATACATTTTATACATATATACATAATATTGTGCAGAGAGTCCGCCCTGTAGCATTATTCCTGCTATAGGGTGGAGTTAAAAACCGGTTAATAAAATAATGTGCTGACATTTGGAAAAGGTGGGCCCTGTATGTTGAGCAGCAGATTTTTATATATATATATATTTATTTATTTATTTATATATATATATATATATATATATATATATATATATATATATATATATATACAGTGGGGATCGAAAGTTTGGGCACCCCAGCTAAAAATTTGTATTAATGTGCATAAAGAAGCCAAGGAAAGATGGAAAAATCTCCAAAAGGCATCAAATTACAGATTAGACATTCTTTTAATATGTCAACAAAAGTTAGATTTTATTTCCATCATTTACACTTTCAAAATAACAGAAAACAAAAAAATGGCATCTGCAAAAGTTTGGGCACCCTGCAGAATTTATAGCATGCACTGCCCTCTTTGCCAAGCTGAGACCTGCCAGTGTCATGGATTGTTCTCAATCATCGTCTGGGAAGACCAGGTGATGTCAATCTCAAAGATTTTAAATGCCCAGACTCATCTGACCTTGCCCCAACAATCAGCACCATGGGTTCTTCTAAGCAGTTGTCTAGAAAACTGAAACTGAAAATAGTTGACGCTCACAAAGCTGGAGAAGGCTATAGGAAGATGGCAAAGCGTTTTCAGATGTCAATATCCTCTGTTCGGAATGTAATTAAGAAATGGCAGTCATCAGGAACAGTGGAAGTTAAAGCAAAATCTGGAAGACCAAGAAAAATATCAGACAGAACAGCTCGCAGGATTGTGAGAAAAACCATTCAAAACCCACGTTTGACTGCATGATCCCTCCAGAAAGATCTGGCAGACACTGGAGTTGTGGTACACTATTCCACTATAAAGAGATACTTGTACAAATATGGTCTTCATGGAAGAGTCATCTGAAGAAAACCTCTTCTACGTCCTCACCACAAAAAAATCATCATTTGAACTTTGCAAATGAACATATAGACAAGCCTGATGCATTTTGGAAACAATTTATGTGGACCGATGAGGTTAAAATTGAACTTTTTGGCCGGAATGAGCAAAGGTACGTTTGGAGAAGAAGGGGCACAGAATTTAATGAAAAGAACCTCTGTCCAACTGTTAAGCATGGGGTTGGATCAATCATGCTTTGGGGTTGTGTTGCAGTCAGTGGCACAGGGAACATCTCACGAGTAGAAGGAAAAATGGATTCAATAAAATTTCAGCAAATTTTGGATGGTAACTTGATGCCATCTGTGAAAAAGCTGAAGTTAAAGAGAGGATGGCTTCTACAAATGGATAATGATCCTAAACACACCTCGAAATCCACAGGGGATTACATCAAGAGGCGTAAACTGAAGGTTTTGCCATGGCCTTCACAATCTCCTGACCTCAACATAATTGAAAATCTATGGATAGACCTTAAAAGAGCAGTGCGTGACAGACAGCCCAGAAATCTCAAAGAACTGGAAGACTTTTGTAAGGAAGAATGGGCAAAGATACCTCAAACAAGAATTGAAAGACTCTTGGCTGGCTACAAAAAGCGTTTACAAGCTGTGATACTTGCCAAAGGGGGCAGTACAAGATATTAACTCTGCAGGGTGCCCAAACTTTTGCAGACGGCCATTTTTTTGTTTTCTGTTATTTTGAAAGTGTAAATGATGGAAATAAAATCTAACTTTTGTTGACATATTATAAGAATGTCTAATCTGTAATTTGATGCCTTTTGGAGATTTTTCCATCTTTCCTTGGCTTCTTTATGCACATTAATACAAATTTTTAGCTGGGGTGCCCAAACTTTCGATCCCCACTGTATATATAAAAAATTGCTGTAACAAAACAGCAATTCTGCAACAATGACTACTAGAGCAATCAGTCCTCATATTATAGTACATTTTGTAGATGTTACTTGTTGGTTTATTTAAAAATGGTGTGAACATTTTGAGACATAATGAGTGTACATGCAGTATTAATGAATAGCAGAGATGAATATTTCTTGCTATTCTTTTCCAGGTTCCATGCAGAAAATGCACAAGAGTTTATTGCAATCAAGAGATTAAAGAGTGAAGGCTGGAAGTGCGATGTAAGTCGTTTTGTTGAATTCATGTTGTCATATGTTTGAGGAAGTAAAATCAGGGCTCTTTGATTGCTCTTGTATTTAATTTTTTTGCAGCCGTACTCTCTGCCATTATTATGTAAAACACTGTGCAAACTGTTTTCGCCATACACATCATGTATCACAATAATAATATTTAAAAACCAAGACAGGGTTAAAGACTATGACTAACCATACACATGTAGATTTCTAATAGATTATCTTTGCTAAACAGTTTGGATGAATGAATCTCCCCTGCTAACCTTTACATTCTGACAGCTGTTCAGAATGAAAAAGTCAGCAGCTCTCGGAATCCTGAACAATGACTGCAGCTGATTGGATGTGGCTGCTGATTGGTAGAAAATTTTCCACCTGGCTCCCTCAACAAATTTGATTGAAAAATTTGACTTTTGTCAAGCTGGGTGTTGCCTGCAGGGCCATCCACGGCTTGAATTTCAGCCGATTCAGCAGGACTTGGCCAAAATGTTTCTGTGTACATCTGGCTTATTCTAAGTACTAACAGCAACTACTTCTAAAATTCTAGTTTCTAGCTGAAGGAGGACTAAATATATAAACATTATAAAGAAGATCTGCCTGTATATGTTTGTGTTTAATTGGGATAGTGAATAAATATATAAATGGACAAAAATATGAAAACACTACATGATTTGCAGGTGTGAAAGTGATATGTTTTGTGTTGAAAGCGGAAGTGATGTAACATTCTTTTACTTCTGCTGTGTGACGAGACACCTAGCCAACAGGTGGGAAGCCTCACTTTTGTCATTCACTGAGTGAGCTGCTGCTGATACAGAGTCGTGTCAGAGCTTACTGAGCTTCAAAGAGGGCAAATTGTTGGTGCCTGCTTAGCTGGTGCCTCTGTGACGGAAGTTGCCAATTTATTTGCCGTGTCATGCAGTACAGTATCAAAGGTTTTGACGACGTATACAATTTCTGGGAAAAAATCATTTGATAAGCAAAAGAGCGGTCGACATGGTCAACTGACCGAAAGAGATAGGACATTTTCAGGATTGTGACTCGGAATAAAAAACAACTGCTGCAAAAGTGACTGCAGAGCTCAGTCTTCCAAAGCCCGTGTCCACAAAAACTATGCAGAGGGAACTCCATAAGCAGAACATTTACGGGTGAGCTGCAATTGCCAAACCACTACTGACCGATATTAATGCTCAGAAGATGAGAGAGTGGTGCAACACACAAAAATTGTGGACTATTGATCAACACAAGACTGTAATATGGTCTAGTGAATCGAGCTTCACACTGTTCCCAAGCACTGGATATGTTTACATGTGGCAAACACCGTTCCAAGCTTAGGACCAGGACTGTCTTGTGCTGACAATAAAGCATGGCACAATCATGGTTTGGGCAGCCATATCTAGGTATTCTGCAGGCTCCATCACAGGATAGATTTGATTTAAATCAAGTTGATTTAAATCACTAGTGAAAAGGCTCGATTTAAGGCTACTTTTTTAAGGAGTTTTTCAAGCGTTTTTGCACTTAAAAAAAAGCCTGAAAAGCTCAAGAAAAATGCTTTCCTGTGTTTGTGAATGTATATCTATGTATGTTTTCACACTGAGGCATTGTGCTTGTGGTGTGTGTAAAAACTCCTGCTTGCATCTTTGGGGAATGTTTGGGGAGTAAAAAAAAAAAAAAAACGGCCCAAAAATGCCTCTTCCCATTGAAATCGATGGAAATCGCCTGAAAAATGCCTCTGAGAAGTGTTTTTGGTGCAGTTTTAAGTCACGTGTCCTTTAAAATAAAGTTTTGTAAAAAAGCCTATTCGTTTTTGCGGCGGCTCAGTGTGAAAGTAGATTAAATCATAATTTTTTTTTGTTTACAAACAATTTTATTGAAAAAATGTAGACAATAAAACAACAACACATTTTCAGATTATATGGATAGAAAAAACAAGGCACTTATGAAAAGTACAATTCAGAAAAGTCTATTGTAGTAAGAAAGAGAAGAAACAGAAAAAAAGTAGATTGCAAGTACATGAGATACGTTAGTGATGAGATAGGTTGAATGAGACATCCGTCAACTGCATTTGTCAGTATAAATCATAATTTTTAAAGAGCAACTGTCATCTGTGTCCTGTAGCGGCTCCTCCTTTTGTCCCGCTGTTGACTCACCGACAGTCCCATTCACTTTAATGGGACGACTGTTGATGAGGCAGTGAAGGACGTGGCGGCAGCAGGTGAGTGGATGCCCAGTAACAGGCGCTGCCATGATGGATCTAAAATGACAGGTGCTCTTTAAATGTAAGGCATCTGACTCATTCTTGCTGGTAGTTAGAATCTTTAATATTTGCAAACCAAATGAAGGTTTCTTTTTAGAATAATAAGCTGTCAGGTTAGTAAAACCGCGATATCAGAACCGATTTTAGGTTAATCATCAATGTAGTGCATGTTACCTCAGTTTGCAGAGCTTGGATTCACTGAGTGAGTTTACCAAAAATGTAAATATTGCAGAATATACAGCCCCATGCTACATTACTAAGCTCTATTTCATGCTGAATAAACTAAATTAATAATGTATCTTAAATAGAAAACTATCTTTAGATTAGATTTTTACTCCAAAAGCATTTTATTAAAATAAATTTGATACAAATAAAAAAAATCAGATATTATTTATTTATTTATTTAACTCATCGATTTTTATCCACCCTGCTCCATGATCGCCTTGAAAGGTAGAGCCACTTCCAGCGACTATGTACAAATTTTGGCCGACCATGTGCACCCACTGTTGCAGACGTTTCCCGAAGACAGCGCCAATTACCACAATGATAATGCTCTGATTCACACAGCTGGTGTTGTCAAATAATGGATTGGCTAGCACCTTCCCTGGGTGCCTCAGTTCCTGGTTCTCAATATCATAGAGCCACTATGGTCAATTTTGGAGAACAAGGTTCAGGCTCATTTTCTGCCTCTGGTATGTCTGCGAGTACTGATTTTTGCATGAAGAGTGGTATCTGGTTCCATTATTCACTATCCAAAACTTATATTTGTCAATTCAGGTCGTCCTTGATGCCAGAGGCTGTCCAACACCATATTTGGTCCAACCCCTGTATGTCAGAGAAGCCATTCTACCTATTGGAAGCAAGTACAATTTCTGTATAAGCTTCTGTAACAAATCATTAAAGGCCTGTGATTTATGCTGATTTGTTTTATATCATATCTAAGCTGAAGAACATAAATGCGATGTGTTTCAGCTTGCCAGTCCTTAGCTGTGATAACTGGATTAGTTTTTATTTTTCAGGCTTCTTCTGTTATTCTTAAATAGTAATCATGCCACCAAGTACATGAAATGTACTTTGGTGACAACGCTCACTGCACTGTATTTATGAAGCATTGTTATCCTAGGTTGCTTTCCTGATTTGGACTACAAACACCTCCCCTATCCTCATCTCCACTACATAAAAGGGGGGGGGGGTGTTCTTTAGTTCACAGAAGATGGTTGGGAAGGCCGATGACATTTGTTTGAGAGTTCAGATCGGTCCATAGGTAGTTAAAAGCACTCTGGATTTTTGATAGGATCAACATATTTTTCTGTACTTGCATAAAATGTACTTTAAAGCCACTCGACCTGTAAAAAAAAAAAAAAAAGTCAGCAGCTACATAAACTGTAGCTGCTGACTTTTAAAAAACAGCCACTTACCTGTCCCTCGGTCCTGTGGTGTGTCCCCTGCAGCTCATTTCACCGGCCGTCCTGGATTCCAGGAGGCTGGCATCTTCAGTGTGAGCACCCGGCTGCGATAGCTTGCAGCTTCACAGCCGGGTACCCACTGCGCATGCGCGAGTAGCGCTGCAATTCATGAATGGTCCTGTAGTCTTCTGGGACCTGTTACGTGTCCCAAAAGACTACAGGGAGGGAGGAAGGACACCTTCCGTTTCCGATCGCTGCGGCGATCGGACCAGAAGTGGGAGCGGGTACCTGTCAAATTCGGGTACCCATTCCCCAAAGGTGCCAATCCTTAATGGGGAACGGGGGAGCAGTCCTTAAAGCGGAACTTCCCCTTTTGGGTGGAGCTCCGCTTTAACTTTACAAAAAGAAAACTAATGCAGTAGCAACATCAAAGGACTTAAGGTAAGGATGTAAGGTGAAGTGTATTGCATTTTTTCTTGGGTTTAGATATAATTTGTCTATATATGGAGCTTGAAGTAGAACTATAGGAAAAACTTTTTTCATTTTGGATAAAAATGAGGGAGGATTATAACCCTTGTCAGATCTTTTTTCACCATCTGTGTCCCATTTTGGAGATTTTACTTCATGTCCTGTTCCCTAGCCAAACAGTGAGAGGAAATCTCTGCAAATTAAGAGTGCCCAGGTCACCAGAAATAGAGTCCTCGTTGGAAGATTTCCCATCTGTTACATTTTTTGGGTCAACCCAAAATTTGGGATTTTCTTTACTTTCACTTTCAATGATAGTGGTAAACAGGACAAATAAAGAATGTACTTTTTTTGCATAATCAGTATGTGTATGTATTTCATTTCTTAGATCTGTAATAAATCTTTCACACGACGGCCTCATTTAGAGGAACACATGATCCTTCATTCACAGGACAAGCCATTTAAGTGCACCTATTGTGATGAACACTTCAAATCGCGCTTCAAAAGATTGAGGCATCAGGAAAAATATCATTTGGGTATGCTCATTTTGTTCTCTTTTGAAGTTTTTTTTTTTTTTTTTTTTTTTTTAAACAGTATGTATTTTATTTAATTTTTTTGTGATACAGAACATAGAGCAGGAGTGGGAAAAGTCAGGAACTCATTCAGCATACACATTAAGCATACAGTTGAACAGTTATTGAATAGGGTTACCCAGTCTGTAATTAATAGCAGTCACATGGGGGGGGGGGCACGACTGGAGGGTGTCGTTAGGTAACTCAGTGTGTTTACGAGATATGTAGACAGGTACAAAGACAAAAGATAAAGAGAAGTCCATGGACGGCAATTAAAACAGGAGGGGGTAAAAGAGAGCATAGTAGGCAAGGTAGGGGTTGGGAGCCAGACAAAGGAGTCAAATGTCTTTACTTGGTAGAGTTTACTCAGCCAGCTACTAGACCAGACGTTCCATTTGGTCAAATCAGTTGAGTGGATAGATGGCATGAGTTCTTCCACGTGCTTTATATTCCTTTTAAGTCCTAGCAGCACAGTGGCTAAATGGTTAGCACTTCCTCCTAACAGCACTAGGGTCATCAGTTTGGATCACAACTACCTGCCTGGAGTTTGCATGTTCTCCCTGTGCTTGTGTTTCCTCCGGATACTTTGCTTTCCTAAGGGACCTTAGATTGTAAGCTCCTTGAGGGTTAGGGACTGATATGAATGTACAATATAAGTCAAGTGCTGTGTAAATTGACAGAGTTATATAAATACTTGTAATAAATAAACATTTTTAATATTAGAGCAGCAAAAGCTGGTAAAAGGGGTTTTCTGCTTTTCAGCAAAATGTGTGAAAACAGACTGTTGGATCTGTATATAAAAAAAAAAGGAATCGCAGTATATTATAGTGTTAAATAAAAAAACAATACATTTTGGGACTTTTTGGGTTAGTTCATTATTATACACTGTTTGCCCAAATAAGGGAGGAGCACAGAACCATGCTGTTCCTGAGTAATATTCAATATGCACTTTCAGACGTTGCTAGCTAGCTCTCTTCCCCTGACGATGGCCTCTGTGTAATGTATTGGGTGAGATCTGGCCTGTGAAGTCCTCACTCCCACCAGTCAGATCACTGCAGTGCTTACATGACTGTAACACTTTGAAAATACCGGTCCTGCTGATGTGTTAAGGACCTTCTGTGGCCCTGTTCAGCTCTCCTAGAGTAACTGCCTGTCTCCTGGAATCTCCTCCATGCTCTTGAGACTATGCTGGGAGACACAGCAAGCCTTCTGGCAATGGCACGTATTAATGTGCCATCCTGGAGGAGTTGGACTGCCTGTGCAACCTCTGTAGGGTCTGGTAGTGACACTGACCCTAGCTAAAACTAGTGAAAAATAGTCAGAAAAGATGACTAGGGAAAAAAATGTCAATGACCTCCACCTGTAAAACCATTCCTGTTTTGGGGGTCGTCTCATTGTTGCCCATCTAGTGCACCTGTTGTTAATTTCATTAACACCAAAGTAGCTGAAACTGATTAACAACCCCCTCTGCTACTCAACTGACCAGGTCAATATCCCAGGAGTTTGAATTAATGCTATACTCTAATTAAAAAGTGTTCCTTTAATTTCTTTGAGCTGTGTATATTGTGAGTTTTACTCTTGAATACATATAATCGGTTGAAGCAATGTCACACAATGTGGCTTGTCCTTATGTTTTCTTCCATGTGTGTTGTGAGCCTTTCTGTTCACTCCTAATGCACTGGAATGTTGCTGACTGCTGGTGTGGAACTGATATTTTTCATGTGCTGCAGATCTCTTCTAATTTAGAGATCATACTGATCTAGATTCTAGAAAGACGTTTCGGCACTTCATTTGGTGTTATACACTAAAGCTGGTGCTTTGAGTGGACTGTATTTTGGCACATCGCCCCGGAAATCGGAGCTCTATGATTTCACTTATGGATTTTTTATTTTGTGTCGCTCACATTTTTGTTTATTGTTACCTGTTAATTTATTTGATTATGATATTCACTCATGAGTTTTTGTTTTGTATTTAGTGTGTTAGTTGACCTTTACATTTTTTTGTGAAAAGGTGAACATACGCTTTCAGAAGATATGGGATGAGTCAGTTGAACATGTAGTAGATGCAGAGTTCTTTTTTTTTTCTTCCAGGTCCCTTTCCTTGTGACATTTGTGGACGTCAGTTCAATGACTCTGGAAACCTGAGACGCCATATTGAATATACACATTGTGGAAAAGGAAGTATAGCTGCTTTATCTGTGGGAAATCAGTAAGAGAAAGGTAAGTTGGTTCAGTTAGGAGTAAGTTGGAGGAAAGCTTTCTTCCAGTAGTTCAGCCAGGTTTAATAGACTACAAGTCTCTTAGCAAGTAATCCATTTATCACTAAGCTGGCAGGTAAAGCAATGTTCCTGATATAATTCATTTTATTTCTCAGTGAGAAGTATAAACTGCCTGCCATCACTGTAACAGTTGTGTAATTAAATATATGTAATGCATTTGAGCTTCTTATGCATTTGTGTGTTTGTTTTAAGGACCACATTAAAAGAACATCTTAGGATTCACAGTGGGGAAAAGCCACACCTCTGCAGTATTTGCGGGCAGAATTTTCGCCATGGTAGCTCATACAGGTAAGTAAACAACACATAATGATAATAGATTATTACATAGAAAATCAGACATGACTAAACATTTTTAAAATAAAAAGGTAAAAAGAAATCCCAAAATAAAATAAATAGATGCTTTTACCTGCTATCTTGCAGGGGGGGAGCAGTTATTGTGCAAACTGTGCACCAAACACCTTCAAATCTTGGGGGAAGATTTACTAAAACTGGTGCACTCAGAATATGGTGCAGCTGTGCATGGCAGTCAATCAGCTTCTAACTTCAGCTTGTTCAGTTAAAGTCGTTCAAAAGGCAGAAGGTTTCTTTACCTTAATGCATTCTATTCATTAAAGTAAAAAACCATCTGGGTGCAGCTCCCCTGTCAGCAACCCCCCCCATACTTACTTGAGCCCCATCTTGCTCCAGCACTGTGCATGAGAGCCATGGCTCTCCCAGGTCTCGCTCTACTCATTGGTTCAAACAGCATCTGGAGCCATTGGCTCCTGCTTCTGTCAATCGCAGCCAGACATTGTCCATTCACAGAAGCGAGGCTCGGGAGCGAGTCTGCTCGAATGCCAACATAGCAAGAGGCTTGCTATTGGGGACACTCAGCCAGGGGGGGGAGGAGCCAGGACTGCCAACAGGAGATCTAAAAAAAAGAGGTTTGGGACTACTCTGTGCAAAACCATTACACAGAGCCGGTAAGTATAACATGTTGTTGTTGTTATTAATATTTTAAACACTTGCCCTCAAGAGGATTTACCCCCCTTCCTGACCAGTCCATATTCCGCTATGCGGCGCTGCATTATTTTAACTGACAATGCAACACTGCAATGCTCATGCAACGCTGCACCCAAATGAAATGTATGTCCTTTTTTTCCCACAAATAGAGCTTTCATTCGGTGGTATTTGATTGCCTGTGCGTTTTTAATTTTTTGCGCTACAAAGAAAAAAAGACCGACATTTTTGAGGAAAAAAAACTGTATTTTTGACTTTTTGCTATTAAACATGTCCAGTAAAAAAATGTTAAAAATCTAATTTCATCATAAATTTAGGTCAAAATTTATTCTGCTACATGTCTTTGCTAAAAAAAATTCCAATACGTGTAAATTAATTGGTTTACGTGAAAGTTATAGCATTTACAAATGGCGGTATATATACTGCCATTTTTTTTTCCTTTCCAGTAATGGCCGCGAGCAGCGACTTATAGCGGGACTGTGGCAGGCATTCTGACACTAGGGGTAGCTGACTTGGTGTCACTGACATCCCCAGTGACACCAATACAGTGATCAGTGCTAAAAAAAACCCACTGACACTGTACTAATGGCACTGGGGAGGAAGGGGTTAACATGAGGGGCGATCAAAGGGGTAACTGTGTGCTGGGTGTGTTTTACTGTGGGGCCGTGTGTTTGTGCTTCACTGTAAGCACACTGCTTTGTATGACTGTGCGGTGCACAGTTATGCAAAGCTGTGTGCATGAGTTGACAGGGAGGAGAACTGTTTTGTGTACATATATACAGTAGGGATCAAAAGTTTGGGCACCCCAGCTAAAAATTTGTATTAATGTGCATAAAGAAGCCAAGGAAAGATGGAAAAATCTCCAAAAGGCATCAAATTACAGATTAGACATTCTTATATTATGTCAACAAAAGTTAGATTTTATTTCCATCATTTACACTTTCAAAATAACAATAAGTTTGGGCACCCTGCAGAATTTATAGCATGCACTGCCCCCTTTGCAAAGCTGAGACCTGCCAGTGTCATGGATTGTTCTCAATCATCGTCTGGGAAGACCAGGTGATGTCAATCTCAAAGGTTTTAAATGCCCAGATCTGATCTGACCTTGCCCCAACAATCAGCACCATGGGTTCTTCTAAGCAGTTGTCTAGAAAACTGAAAATAGTTGACGCTCACAAAGCTGGAGAAGGCTATAAGAAGATATAAGAAGATAGCGTTTTCAGATGTCAATATCCTCTGTTCGGAATGTAATTAAGAAATGGCAGTCATCAGGAACAGTGGAAGTTAAAGCAAGATCTGGAAGACCAAGAAAAATATCAGACAGAACAGCTCGCAGGATTGTGAGAAAAACAATTCAAAACCCACGTTTGACTGCACGATCCCTCCAGAAAGATCTAGCAGACACTGGAGTTGTGGTACACTTTTCTACTATAAAGAGATACTTGTACAAATATGGTCTTCATGGAAGAGTCATCAGAAGAAAACCTCTTCTACGTCCTCACCACAAAAATCATCGTTTGAACTTTGCAAATGAACATATAGACAAGCCTGATGCATTTTGGAAACAAGTTCTGTGGACCGATGAGGTTAAAATTGAACTTTTTGGCCAGAATGAGCAAAGGTACGTTTGGAGAAGAAGAGGCACAGAATTTAATGAAAAGAACCTCTGTCCAACTGTTAAGCATGGGGTTGGATCAATCATGCTTTGGGGTTGTGTTGCAGCCAGTGGCACAGGGAACATCTCACGAGTAGAAGGAAAAATGGATTCAATAAAATTTCAGCAAATTTTGGATGGTAACTTGATGCCATCTGTGAAAAAGCTGAAGTTAAAGAGAGGATGGCTTCTACAAATGGATAATGATCCTAAACACACCTCGAAATCCACGGGGGATTACAGGCGTAAACTGAAGGTTTTGCCATGGCCTTCACAATCTCCTGACCTCAACATAATTGAAAATCTATGGATAGACCTTAAAAGAGCAGTGCGTGACAGACAGCCCAGAAATCTCAAAGAACTGGAAGACTTTTGTAAGGAAAAATGGGCAAAGTTACCTCAAACAAGAATTGAAAGACTCTTGGCTGGCTACAAAAAGCGTTTAAAAGCTGTGATACTTGCCAAAGGGGGCAGTACAAGATATTAACTTTGCAGGGTGCCCAAACTTTTGCAGACGCCATTTTTTTGTTTTCTGTTATTTTGAAAGTGTAAATGATGGAAATAAACTCTAACTTTTGTTGACATATTATAAGAATGTCTAATCTGTAAATTGGATGCCTTTTGGAGATTTTTTCATCTTTCCTTGGCTTCTTTATGCACATTAATACAAATTTTTAGCTGGGGTGCCCAAACGTTCGATCCCCACTGTATATATGTGTGATTGTGTGCACCTGTGCTGCCCTGTAGCAGTATTTCTGCTACAGGGCAGTCGGGAAGCGGTTAAGCTTTTGGTAATAAATCCTGAAAGCCGATTGGTTTTCATGCACAGTTGCACCAGATTTTGCACTCTCCAATTTTAGTAAATAACCTTCATGTGTCTGTGTCTATGCCAATCTTCTTCACTGCATCTTGTTAACTGATCACATACAGTTCCTGGTGAATGAATATTTTTGTGGTGAGTTAAAGTGGTTGTAAAGGATCAGTCTATGCATGAAGGTGAAAAACCAGAGCGCCGGTGGTGAACCTGAAAAGAAGAGGATCGGGGCAGCTGTGTGTAAAACTTCTGCACAGAATAGGTAAGTATGACATGCTTGTTACTTCATTTTAAAAAATGAAGCTTTAGTATCACTTTTTTTCTCATGTTGTGAAGGAGGAGTGGCCACACACATGAACTAAATTTAAATCTCTGCACCATGTGAGAAATGGTTACACCAAGAAAGTTTCTTTTATAAAAAAGGTTGTATTTTTCAGCATTAGTATGTTATGTGTGTTTTTAAAGTCAAACTCAAAGTCCCAGCACCTCCATTTAAAAAAGGTGTATAAATACTTTTCTACTTTTTCTAGTCTTTGGCCTAGTTCAAATATGTTATGGTTCAGTTTCCTCCTCAGCTGTTCCCTGCAGTGGGTGCATCTTGAATGTTGTCATATGAGAGTGGTGTCATATGATGATGTGGTGCTGCTCTCTGGTGCATGTTCCTTTTGAGTCCAAGGCAGCCTGTTAATGCACTACCCAAGGTCCTTGATGCCCTGGGCTCACAGTAATTGTCATGAATGATGCTTGAAATCATTCAGTATGAGAAAACTACAGTATCTAATGGCAGAGAGGATTAACTGCAGGGGACGGCCTGAAAGGGTGAGTGTTCTAACTGGAGCTGCTTTTTTATTTTAAATTTTCGATACTGATTTTTAGAACTTCTTTTTAAATTATATCTATAAACAAACTCCTTTTTTTTGTTTGGATAGCATGAGGAAGAGTTTTTTTTTTTTGGGGGGGGGGGGGTTATTTCTTTCTCTGTCCTGTTGACCACTTGTATTTGAACAGAATTAATTTGTTGGTTACCACCAGAACAGAAGGTAGGGGAAACTTTTCTGCTAGGGGAACCTGATCATGCCACTTTCTAAAAGATTATTTCCTCTTTTTGTTTTGTCTTTGGGTCTGGAAGCGAAGAGAAAACTTCCCAGTAGAACAATACAACACATCCCCTACAATATCTGAAAACGAAAAGGAATGTTTGGAATAAATATACTTTGTATTTCACTTTATAGGAAAATGGCACAGTAAATTATTCGATTTTGCACTTACTGTATGTACTAAAAGGAAAAAACTTACCCTTGTATCTTAGATTACATATTCGTGTTCATCATGATGACAAGCGTTATGAGTGTGAAGACTGTGGGAAGACCTTTATACGACATGATCATTTGACTAAACACAAGAAGATACATTCTGGTAAATTAGGTTTCGTTTGTATCCATCACCAGTTAAATACAGTTTCAAGTTATATTTTGTTACTACTGAAAAGAGGCACCTAGTACCTTTTTATTTAACCTTTTCACTGCCTGATTAGTATTCCAATTTCCCTTAGCATTCATTAAGGGACACAGCAGACCTCTGAATATATGCTCTGCCTCTAGGAGGTAGGACACTAGGAAAATCAAAAAGCACAGCTCCTTCTAGTGGCTATACCCCAATCACATACTGAGTAAGCCCAGTGTAGCTTGATGTCCTTAGAAGGTAGGACATCTCTCTATAGCTCTGCTGGATCAAGATACCAAAGGTTTCTTCACTCTCCTGCATAATTATCTATCAGCAGTTGCTTTGCTCCTCTGAGGTAAAGATAGGTTTAGGTTAGTGTAGC